TGAAATTATATGAAAACTGTGCTTCAGGACTTAAGTTCCCCTCTATTATGGGTCAGGGAAAGGTGTCTGAGGGGGTTCCCAAAGTTGGGGTCATTCACCATCCCCTGGTGCTGGATAAAATACTTGGGAAGATGGAGTGAGGGTCTGAAGCCCGTCTGGCAATTTCTATCTCATGTACTTTTCCCTGGGGTCAAAATCCTTCTTCCTCTGTCCTGAGCTGTACCTGAAACTAAGCAGCATGTTCCAGTGAGATAAGTAATTACCATGAGTTCATATCATTTCTTTTTAATGAGGCTGGTCAGAATCTTCATTTAGTATTTTGATTCATTTTTCTGTGCTCGGCAGGTCCTGATGTCTCCGGATTTGCCCTCCTAGAGCCACTGTGGGCAGCTTCTGTACCAAATCTAGACAGCCAGATGCTTCATCAACAAAGTTCTGAGTTTTTTTAATTAATTTTCAAGTTCTGAGGGGGTTGATAGGACCAGCTATGGCTGTGTCTGGATCCTGCAGGAACCGGGATCGAGGATCAGGGCACACTTGTATTTGCTTGTTTCCGCCCACTATTTGAAGTGCATCAACAATTCCTTCCCGACAGCAAAACAAGAGAAGAGCTGGTACTTTTAAGGTAATTCTGACATCCGTGCTATGAATAGATCCTTATGGAAATTTGCCCTTGCTTGCTGGTTCCCTGCACAGGAACCCAGTAAAACGCTGGTATGGTGAGAGGGACGAGACCGCTGCCATGGTGGCACTGGATCATGGAATCCCAGATTGGTTTGGGTTGGAAGGGACCTTAAAGATCATCTTGTTCCAACCCTGCAGCACTGGCTGGTGGTGGTTCCTCCCAAACCACATCTCAGCTCAGGTGAGGGGCTGTGGCCCCTTCCCAGACACAGCATTCCCAGTTCATCCCCCCGGAGCAGCCCTTTACGCTGGCAAGGGATCTGCTTTTGCAAAGTGTTTCATGTTTTCCACCTCCTCAACTATCCCAAAGCCATTTGGTTGGTAGCTCCTGGTGCACCTGCTAAGAGAGGTGTCACTGGTGCCACTGCAGGGGTGGGAAAGTGGGACATGGAGCCACCACGGCTCCTGCCCGGGCGAGACAGGCTGGGAGGGACCCACCCAGTAGCTCCCACTGCTCCCCTTCCCTCTCCCCAGCGCAGGAAAATTTCCCAGCCCGGGCCAAGAAAACCCACTTGCCTACTCAGGCGGCGCTAACAATGCAAACACTAATTATATTTCCCTCACCTATCAAAGGGATGATTCACTGAGGTGAGTGGGCACAGAGCATTACACAAGATGAACACCACGGTGCGACCACCCGGCCCTTTCGGGGTAGCCCTCCCGAGGAACAAGGATTTGGGGAGCATGTGAGATTCGGATTGGGAGAGGGGTGGCAGCAGGGCTGCTGGGCACCGAGCACCTGGAAGGGGGCTGGTCCCCTCCCCCAAGCCCCTGTCCAGTCTTGGATCCCAGCTGCTCCTCTGGGAAGAGGTGGAGGGAAGATAAAAACAGCGTTGGCAGGGATGGAAAGGGCAAAATGCTGATTTGGGGCTTCTTCCTTCATCCACCCCCACAACCATGGTTTCAGCAGCTAAACCCAAACCCAACACAGAGCCCAAGGATTCCCATGGGAAGCCTGTAGCTACAACTCCAACTGTCCCCAGGGTGAAATTACTGAGCATTCCCAAAGTGTCCGAGGAGGTACAGAAAGTACCAACTGAGACATCTCCAGATCTCCAGACCTGCTCGAAAGAGGGTCTCCAACCCTCTGCCCCTGAGAGGTTCCACCAGAGCTACTGGGAGCAGCTCCAGCTCACATCTGATCCAGGTTGATCCAGGTAGATGCAGCCCCTTCCACCTGAAGAAAGGGAGTAATCCTGCTCCCACTCTGGAGCTGGGATGAATCAGACCCAGCAAACGAGCGGTGCAACTCCAGCATCCAACTGAAGCAATCCTCGGGAGCCTGGTTTATGTAATATCAGGGTGCTTCTGGAGGGGGCAGAAGGTGGCAGGGATTTTTTGGCAAAAAGATAAGGACATGTCAGCAGTGTTGTGGTTTGGGGAGGTCCGAGGGGGTGAGCGTGTACAGGGAACAACAGGACAGTGCCGCAGGTGCGGGGCCGTGGGTCAGGCGTGCCGGGGAGATTTGGCAAAGCGTGGGCTTCTGGGAGAGCAGCAGGGCTCTGTTTGCTTACGTGGGCTCTGCAATAGGTCTGTGTTGATGGACATGAATCCACACAGCTCAGGGAACACGGTTTGCATTCCCCTGGCGTGTGCAGGGGTCAGGGAGCGCTGGGGGCTGACCACGTGTGTGTGGGAAGGGGAGCGGGGGGCGAGGCGGCGGCGTGGTGTGGGGAGGAGAGGCGTGTGTGTGCCCAGCGTGTGGCGTGGGAGGTGTGAGAGCTGCAAGCTGTGCCTGGGGGAAGCGCTGCCTGGGGGTGTGTGGGGCAGTGCGAGCACCCGGCAGGGCAGGGGACGGCGCCCAGGGGACGGGGGGTGACAACGCAGCCCAGGCCACTGCGTGCCATCCCCTCCACCCAACACATCAACACGTGCCCATCAAAAATATTGCTCCCCAAGATAGCGCTGGAGGTGTTCCCTTACCCACTGTTGTGCGAGGGAATGGTAAAATTGGAGTGAATCCATGGATTCTGGGGCATCTCGCTTCCCGAGCCTCGCTGCGCATTTGGGGACCCAGCCCCTCAGCCATGGCTGAGGAGCTAAAAAAAAATAATGTGCAAGGGATGAATATTTATCTGTGGGTGGCAAGTGACAGATGCTGGGGCGAGGATTCTTGGATACTTCAGTTTGATGGAGGTAATAACTTGAAGAGATTAATGAGAAACATCCTTCCCAACAGTTGCCTCCTTGGTGCCACCCAGCACTGCTCCCGCACTCAGCGGCCTCTGGGACCCAAACACACAAAGTTCAGCAAGGTTTGGCGCTCAAAAGGCTGGAGATACCCAACTTTGGTGTTTTCTAGCCAGAATGGAGCCAGGCAACCAGGAAAGGGATATGGCTTCTCGGTGCTTGGAGTTGAGTCGGTGGAAGTGACATTCCAGCTGGGTTCTGGCCCAACTGGGATGAGGGAACCTGGTGTGGAAGAGCCTGCTGGGGTGTCCACAGGTCCCATTGCTTTGCATTTCCCCAGCACAGCATCCCTTCCTCCTCAGAGGGTTTGAGAGTCCCATGAGGACCATTTTGCCACAGACACCGTGCCCTTTCCCCACACTGATCCTCTTCCCTCCTCCTGAAATCACAAACACATGATATCGGTCCCCAAACACCGGGAAGGCGGGCTGGCTGGACAAGATGGAAGAAAAAGCTCTTTCCTTCTGGTAGGTTCTCAGAAAACACTGAAATTGCTGCTTAGCCACCCTAGTGTGGGATGCTCCCCATGTTCCTCCCTAAAAACACTACCCTGTAGAGGATGGGGAGCGCAGCAGGGTAGGGGAACGTGCATGGCCGAGGACAGGGCCAGCCCTGCAACACCCAGCCCTCAGAGACCTGTAGTTTGTCCAGACTTCTGTTTGTCCTCCCACAAACCTCCCAGGCAAGGGCTGGGTGCCAGGAGGAGACAGCACCCACGTTGGGAGCACGCAGAACCCCCCCCACATCCCCTCCTGACCGCCTTGAACGTGGGAGACTGCAATTATTCCCTGCTCAAGCTTTATCCTCGACTGAAGGACTGCTGGGATTTATTGATGGCTTCCAAACACACACCCGCTAGATTCCAGATCAGACCCCAGCATCATTCCATGCAGCTGAAACAAAAGGTTGCAGCTCTATTTTCCTTTAGGACAAAGCCACCAGCACAAAATTATCATTAAAAATCCGGAGACGGTTGCGCCTCTCCCTTCTAGAGCATGAAAAAGCAGCTGCAGGTGAGGTTTAACCTCTCCTCCCTGTACAACCACAAGGCAGCAAACTGGGTTTTCCAGAGAAAGGTCTTGCAGCACCTTTCAGGAAGGGCTGTGATGGAGCTCACCGAGACTGCAATTTCCTCAAAGTAGCCGTATGGAAAACCAAAACATCTTAAAAATAATCGATGAGCCTGCTTTGGATGGCCACGGTTCCCAGGAAAACAAGGGGGCAGTGGTGCCGGATGCCTCTGGCTGCCGGCAGGTAGGCCTGCCTTGGATTATGGAGGCAATTCCGATGGAAGTAGCCACAAACCATGAGAGAGGATGATACAGCCACTTACAGCACAGCACCAGCTGTTTCTCCCAGTTCAGCCTTAAAGCTTGTTAGTCCAGCAATTTTTTGGGGTTTGATCACTCCAATTGGGTTTTCTTGTTTTTTATCTAATCCCAGTTTCCCCTCAGCATCTCGTTAAGCCGTGTTGACGGCAGAGAATAGCTCTGGTGATCCCTCTGAGCCCCTACGCTAAGCATTAAGCCGTAAACTAGGAATGTAAGACTCTTGTCTGAATTAAAGTCTTTTCCCTGGTATTATTAAGTGTGGGGCTGCCTTTGGAGGGGCTGGGGGATGTGCAAACACCCAAGGCCCCTCGTTGGAAGCAGTGGCAGCACTAGAGCTACCCCCATCTGCCCTGGATCCCCCAGACACAGTTTGCCTCCATCCTTCCCCGCGTTGCATCCATGCAAATCCTACAGGTTCCAGTGGTGCAGTCAGAACTGCCATGTGCAACTTGGGTTGTCTCCCCATGGCTTGGCCCACCCCATTCTCTGACCCCTCTGGGCCAGAGCTGGGCATCCCTCCACCAGCACAGCCAATTCCCCTCCCCAAAAACTAGGTTGAGGACAGGAAGGGGGGAGGACCTGGTGCCCAGAGACCCGCTGGACATATGGGGCTACCTGTGGCAAAGAGCTGGGCTGGTGCCACGCTGGGCTGGTTCCTCGTTTCCTGCGGGGTGGGAGCATCCCTCGCTCCAAGCCAGCAGGTTGCAAACTCACAGACTCCAACCTAAACCCAGGGTCCCTGTTTGGAGGTCTGTACCCCATCACCACCCCAGGAAGGGATCAATGGACACCTACCTCCATCCGAGTAGGTCTCTGTCCCGTAGCCATCCTGTAATCCATTGCTCCAGGTGCCTTCGTACTTGGCCCCGTTTCCAGTGCATTCTCGGACCCCGTACCGTCCCTTAAATCCATGGGTCCACTCTCCTTTGTACACCCACTTCCCTTTGCTCTCCATGCCAATGCCATGGCGCTTGCCCTGCGCCCAGGTGCCCTGGTAAGTGTTGCCACTGGGCCAAGTGTAGACCCCCAGCACCTCAAAGCCGTGACTCCAGGAGCCCGAATATTCACCTTGACCCTTCGGGCCGGTACAGATTCCATGGCCATGAGCCTTTCCGTCCTCCCAGCCTCCACAGTACGACCCTCCATCGTCAAAATTAAACCTTCCCCCACTGGACATGCATGTAATTCGGTTTGCAAATCTCCCAAAAGGTGAAAAAAAAAAATAGGAAGAAATGAAGAAAATAAAACACGAACGATGACTTGGGGAAAAAAATATAAACAAAAATAAAAAAATTAAACCAAATCAAACTCAATCGAAATCATGCACCAGATCCAGGGAGCTGCTTAAGCCAGTTTCTTGTGATTATTCATTCTCTGGGAGTATGTTGAGGATCAGTTCTCTCTTCCCCTGCTGTGGAAACAGGATCATTAAAAAAAAAAAAAAAATAGCAGCAAGAACAGCAGCAGCTATTGGGTTTTGGTGCAAACGACTCCACCTAAAAACCATCCAAGGCAGGGAACGGGGGTGGGGGAAAAGGAGGAAAGAAAAAGAAAAAAAAAAGAGGCCAATGCCAAGAGAAGAGATAAAAAAAAAAAAAAAAAAAGGGAAAAAAGCGAGCGCTGGGCAGCCCCGGAGGGGGGGATGCTCAGAGCCCCCACGGAGCCCCCCGCCGCCGGCCGGGCTGGCTGGGGCGCAGGGCCGGGGGCAGCGGCGGGCGCGGCGGCATCGCGGGGCTCGGCAGCGGCAGCAGCAGCAGCAGCAATGCGGTGCCTCCTCCGCCGCCCTCCCGCACGGCTCCCCGGCCGCTCCCGCACCGCGCACGCCCCGCGCCCCGCACACCCTCCCCCGGCCGCCTCCCCCGCGCCGCTCCCCCGCCGCAAACCTCACTCCCGGGGGGACCCGCTCGCCGCGCCCGGCGGATCCCGCATCCCGGCCGGAGGATGCTCGCGGCGAGGCTGGATGCCGGGGCGAGGGGCTGCGGGGTTGCAAAGGGGCCTCGGCTCGCCCCGCGGCCTCCCCCCACCGCTCCTTCCCGGCTCCCTACGGGGATAAATCCCGCTTATTAATGAGCAGGATCCTGGGCTTTCTGCTCTGCCTCAGCTCCCGGCGCCGGGCTCAGAGTGGATTTAAAGAGACAGGAACTGCGTCGCCTTCGCCTCCCACCCCAGCAGGGCCCTAGCCCCCCGCAGACTCGCGGGATGCTCCTGGATTTTTTTTTTTTATCCCTTCGTCTCTCCCCCGCCCCTCTCCCGCCTCTCTCCCGCTGCTCCTCGGGTGCGACGAGGGGCCGACATCCCCCGCCGGAGCCGGGGGGCCCCGTTGGCAGGTGGGTGGGCGGGTGGACACCGGGAAAGGGCCAAACGCCTCGTTCCGCCACCGCCAGGTCTCCGGGCAGACTCTGCTCCGAGCCGGGTCCGGCACACCGCAACTGCAACACGGATTATTTATTCATGAAAAGGCCGTGCTGTCGCTCCGGGGGGGATGGCAGCGCTCGGGATTTATGGCAGCGGTCTGGGCTCTATCCCCATCCAGCGGGGCTGCGGCGCACCTTGGTCCCCTCCCTCCAACACAGCATCCCTACGGGGTCCTCCCAGTCCACCGGGAGGCCCTCACCGGTCTGGTCTGCAGATATTTATTTTTTTTCCCTGGGATCGCCGGAGATGTGGAATCCTCCCCAGGCAGTGGCGTTTCGCGGGGTCCTGGTCCGGTGGTGCATCTCCTCGGCTCTAAACGTGCCCAATATTTGCAGCATCGGGGTGTCTGTGCAGGTCCCTGTGCCTGACACACCTCTCTGTTTGTGTTAATACACCCCTGTATTAGTACACAAATATTAAAGGGGGAGCTCTGTTTGAGAATAATTAAAAAGATGCTCACAAGTGCTTATAAAGCAAAATCTGGGTGATGTATGAAACCACAGCTCTTCCCAAAAATCACACACCGGCTCGGATTTGCATCCTGCCATCTCCAGTGGCAGATGCATCCTGCATCCTCCAGTGTTACTGGAGCGCTTGTTTTGAGCCAAGACTTGGATTCCAGACCCAGATTGGTCAGGACTCCAAGACAAAAAATAAACCATACAATGGAAACCCACGGGATTTAGGCTGTGCATCCCCCCTGGAAGGGCTTGTTGTGCTCAGTCCCTGCCACGTTGCCCACCCAGGAGGAAGTTTCAGGCTGTGTCTTCCCACTCAGTTGTTTTTTTTCTCTATCGATGCATGTTCTTGTCCATCCATGGAAACACATCACCACCCTCCTCTGGAAGAAAACCTTCCTCTCTCTTGGAGCTGGAGGGAAAAGATGCAACCAGAGTGGGTGGAAATTTTCCCACTGAAGCATTTTTTTCCAGTTGAAAATGGTTTTTCAAACTACGCTGAGTCCTTTGTGAATGGCAGGAGCTGTACTCATTATACATTGTGGGGTTGTTGTTGTTTTCTTCCCTAAAAATCCTGCACTTCAGGTACTGCATTTTTTGACAACAGCAAACTCCCATTTTTTTTTTTTCATGGAGGGAGAATTTGGGTGGAAACCCCCAAACTTTCCAAGAAAAACACTATAACTGAAGTTGCTTAAATGCATATAAAAATTTTGGCAGGGAAAAAAAGAAATTCCAGTCCCCTTCTGTTGCTTTCTCAGTAGTTTTAGACAGTTACAGTCATTTTACATGGTAGTTAGCCCACTAATTATTGGCCAGCTATTCCTTTGGGGGGATTTCATGGGATGTAGGGATCAGAGGCAAACAGCTGTGCAAGCACCAAGGTGTGGTACCCCTCTGACCAACATGGGATGCTGCTCCTCATAAAACAAGTGTTTAAAATAACACCATGTTTAATAGTACCTGGTGAAAAAGAAATTCCTAATAATCTGCTTGGGAAGGGGAGAATGGGATCTATTAGTGACAAGCGTTATCAGGATGGTGCATGGCTTTAAAATGAATGTTATTTTGGAAACAGCACCTTTGTGTCTGATGAATGGGCAGGTCCCACACTAAAAATGAAGCCACGTGTTACATCTTCTGTTCATGACCTGATTTAGGTTTTGTGGTGTCTCCATAGGTTCTAGTGGTGTCCAGTGGCTGGAGTGGAGGGTTTGCTCAGAAAGGGCCATTTTGGTTCTTAAAGGGTTTAAGATGGGCTTCAGGAGGCTCCAAAAATTGCTAAAAGCCATCTTGGAAGCCAAACAAAGCAGATTGGAAGTGTCCAAGGCCAGGTTGGACGGCTCTTGGAGCAACCTGGGCTGGTGGAAGGTGTCCCTGCCCATGGCAGTGGAACGAATGAACTTTAAAGTCCCTTCCAACCCAAACCATTCCATGATTCCACGACTCTATGATTGTGGGAACACCAGATGAAGGGGCTGGATGGACAATTACAGATGCCAGGGTGATCATGGAGTGGTGGCCAACCACGACACAGCCACGTTGGTGTCCCCGAGTCTATCCCCAAATAAACTTTATTTTCCCTGACTTTATCCAAAGGTCAGGATTTAGTTTAAAATAAAAACTCATGCCCCAGTCAGCTGCAATTTTTGCTGCCCTGGGGAGTCCTTTCCAGACCAGTTCATATTTCCTTGGTGCTGCTGATGTGCAGGAGGTTGAGAGGAAATTCCAGATTAGATTTCACACCCTGAATGCCAGCAGGTTTTTCCCTGTGGAAGATGCTCCTGCCACTGGTGAGTGCCAAGTTTACTTCCAGTTATGCTGCCATGTCGGGTCTTTAACTGGGCTGCTGGATTTCTCCAGTACATTTGCCTAATTCCAGAGACTTTTCCCCAAAAGGTACAGGCAGCGTTAGATAGGGCTGACAAATTGTTTCTTTAAATACCTGATGCAGATGTGGATGAGGGGATGAGTGAGACGAAGTTTGGGATAAAAGAATAATGATGAAAAAATACAATGAAAAGCAAATCAGCTTATGATAAGTCACTGAGTGTGGATGGGGGAAGAAAAAATAGGATTGGGCAGAGGGAGTGATGCAAAATACAGAGAATAAAATTAGTTCCTGCCTGTTCCTGGTGTGTCTTTCAGAAGAAAAAACTGGTGGAAAGGCACAGATTTCCAGTCCCATCCCACCTGGTGTGCAGAATCCCAGCTGAACAGGAGCCCAGCCCAAGGAGCAGCTCAGGGAGGGATGGGGATGCAGGGAAGGATTGGGATGAAGGCAGGCAACTGGTTTTGATGTACCAAATGGTTCAGAAAGACAAGTGCAGGGCATTGGGGAGACCCGGCCTTCACAGAAATCCTGCTGGGAAGTTTGGCTGTGCTTAAGAAGCAAAAATACCTGCCACAGAGCAAGGGATTAGCTGGAGGAATCCACACTGCTGCTGCATCCTCAGCATGAGAGCAGCAGGATGTATCTCCAAAAGCCCAGCTGCCCAGAAACACATTTCCAGCATCCCAGGAAGGCAGGCAGCTTTTTTTGAGGGGGAATTTGATCCTGTGAAGCACAAAAGAGGAGGGGGAGAGGAGGAGGAGGGATGGCGTGGTGGCCTCCCTGAGCCTGGCTGTGAGGGGACATTTGAAGACGTCTTGGTGGGCCACCATCCATGGGGGAGGATGTTTTTGGCACTGGCAACAATGCTTTGCAGGTCCTCCCAAACTGCCAGCAGCTCCTGGGGATGCCCAAGTGATGCTGAAGGGGAAGCACATCCAAGTGGTCTTAAAAACATTACCCCTGTTTCCCAGGGAAAGAAGGGGGAAAGGCAGCTAAGTGTGGAATTCAATACCAGGTTGTTCAGGTGGTGTAGGGAGGTTTGTGTTTTCCAAGGGTGAGGCCATCCATGGTGGGGTTGTAGAGCTCCAAAGGGAGTAAAGGGAAAAGCTCCTGGGGATACCATGGCCAGCCAAGCCAGGAACGTGTCAGGCTGGTAAAGGAAAGGAGGAGGAATGATGGCACCTGTCCACACTTGCTCCAAAAAACATACAGTTAGGAAATGACAGAATGCAAAGAAAAGTAAATGCAGCAACAAAAAGCACTGGAACAAGGTGGAATTGCTGAATAGAATCCTAGAATCCTAGAGTGGTTTGGGTTGGAAGGGACCTGAAAGATCACCCAGTTCCACCCCCTGTCATGGGCAGGGACACCTTCCACTAGACCAAGTTGCTCCAAGTCCCATCCAGCCTGGCCTTGGACACCTCCAGGGACAAGGTGGCCACTGCTTCTCTGGGCAACCTGTGCCAGGGCCTCACCACCCTCACAGGGAAGAATTTCTTCCTACTATCCAATCTACATGCTGTCCTTCAGTGGGAAGCCATTCCTCCCTTATCCTGTCACTCCATTCTCTTGCAAAAAGTCCCTCTCCATACACCTCTAAGATCCAAGAGTCCAACCATTAAATACACACCACAGTTCCACTCCAAATGCTGTGGGGTGACAGAGATTTTTCCTGACTGGAATACTGCAGCCCTATGTTTATAACCACTCTCTCCATTTGATTTCCACTCATGCTTGGAGGTCTTGATCTGCCAGTCCTGACTGGCATCCCACTGGGACTGGTTTGGGAGCA